TTTAATATAAAGGATCACATTTTAAAGAGCTGGAAATACACCTGTGTGTGTGCGAGGTGCAGCCAGGTGGAGACCTACCTGTGCATACTGAGAGTCCCAGATGTTGAAGCAGATCTCCTGCCCATCAATTCTGTCAACTCGGCTGTAAACTGACTCTGAAAGAACAAGAGATAAAGGGGAAGCGTGAATAAATATTCACAGTAGTGACACTGAATAATGATTTCGATCAGTCGGAGCATGAACAGACAGAGCTCTCACCGATGTCGCCGTACTCGCTGATGAATCTCCTGGTCAGAAATCTGACGGTGAGAGCTGCACAGAGAGAAAAGATCATTAGATCAAAGAAAACAGAAACCAGTACATTGAAATATGTTCATAGATGACTACAGAGCTGTTTCCTTTGAGCAACATTTGAGCTAGAAAACTAGAAATGAAGTGAAAACACGAGAAGAGAAACATAAAGAGGATATTTTTAACGAATCAACATGAAAACGTTCTGTAAGCAAACGTGAAATATTCTGGAAATGAGCCGGTTTGATCTTTACTCACCGGACTTGCCGACATTGTGAGCTCCTAGCAGCAGGATGTTCACCTCCACCCTCTGCTGGTTTCCCTCCATCGCCTCCAAACGACTTTTCTCCTGTACCACCATCAGGAATCGGTTCAGGTTTGCTGACAATAGATGCCAAAGATCTGGAGGCGCCGCTTCAGACCGCCGGCTTATGTACCCCGTGTGGGCGGGGCTTCGGAGCTGTGAGTCACAGCCCAGTCTGACTGCAGCCCGTGCTTGGTGGAGGGTCTTATCTGGAGTCTTATTACAGCAGTAACGAGGCAGATATGGAGGCAGATATGAGCATCTTTGTGTACGTGCTTGTGTCGGTGTCTTTTTGAGGGTATTTCAGGGCTTTCACTAACTGTGGGAACATTTTTGCACCACTCTGCATTGGTGGGTGAGGGTGGGAGTGGGGTGGTGGTGATATAATGACCTTTCTCTGCTGTTTACAACCTTTCTGCTTTTATACCATCTGACCTGTTTTGAAGTGAGGGGACATTGAGGGTGTGTCTCTGTCTCATTTTTCAGTTATTGGGACATTTTTGCATCGTGTGAAAATCTGCAGAGATTTGTGCAGCTGGGTTCGTCTCAGTGGGGAAAGACTGTGTGCTGCAGAGTGCGTCGATTAAACGACAAGCTTCGTTTCTGCCTCTTTGGCTCCACCTGCTGGCTCCCAGCTGAACAACCTCATTCTTCCTGTTTTTCTTCAGCAGCTGCAGAACTTAACTGATTATTATTTTCCTCAACAAATCATTTAATTTGATATCAAAGGGGGATTAATTTCCAAATTTAGACCAAGTTATCTGATCTTTATTCATTACTGGATCCCTCGGGGCCATATTTGCTGTATAAATCATGCAGACAAATAAGTGAGCTTTCTATCATCGACTCTAAGACTCTCGAAGTCCTCCTCGTGCACCTAAAAGTTTACATTTAATCATTTTGTTTAAAAGCGGTTTGTCCCACCGCACGATTTTCAGCCTACCGAGAAATTTCAATAAGACAGCGATCGAAGTCTCGCGGGGTTTCCACAGCGGACGGTGCATTTGGCACTTTCACGGCCTCCTGATGCACGCACAAAGGGATTTGTGTTCTGAGTAAAGAGGTGATTTACAGTCACGTGAAAAAAATATTTAATGGTATTTCTTAAAAACACAGCCTAACATTTTCTTTGATAAAATGCACAGCAGAAGAAGAATCCACGTTTAGATTTGAGTTCTTCTTCAGTAGATTTTTATGTTTTCGATGAGTCCAACCAGCTTCTGTTCACATCAAAGTAAAATTGTTTCAAATTCCTAAAAAAAGGGAACGTAGACACAGACTTTCACAATAAAGTTTGAACACAGGTTTGTGCATGACATCGAACTGCGCACACAAAGAAAGGAGTCAGAGTTCCCCAACCAACACAAACATGAACCGGGTCATTGGTCCCACAGACTGAAGCATGTGATGGGATCCGTTTGACATGTAATTATTAAAGAAAGAGAAGACGGCGACATGAAGTGACTAGAAAACAAATGGAGTCATAAAGCTGGAAGGAAGGAATAAAATCTGAGACCTCAGCAGGATGTGGGTCAAACACTGAAGACAAAGATCAAATACAGAGTCGCCTGTTACAATAAATCACAGGTCGACTGATTGCTTACAGTAAATACACGAGACTCGTCTCAGAGCCGGTCAGTTATGGGAGAGAACGTTTATTTTAATGTTATATTTTATATATATGTTAAACAAAGTAAATCGTAAGAGAAAACACAACGTACGTGTAAAACATGAAATATCAAACGAGAAAACTCGGACTAACCTGTAAACATGTCACGCTACTCGCTGCAGACGTGGCGCCTCAGCTTTCAGGGGAAATACCAAAAACACGTTGTGGCTGATCAGCTGCCAAAGAGATGAAATCTGACGGTAGTAAAGGTTAAAGGTAACAATGCTGCCACCGAGGACTCCGCTGTAGTTACAACCGCGAGAAAAAAGTAACAGCTTCATGCCTGAATGAACGTGTCACACGTACTTTACATAAGGCGGTAAAATCGAGCCCGGCACAAAGTCTCACAGGAAATCACCAGTTTAATGTTTATAAAGTCACAGCACAGACACTCGACCGATCGATGCCGCCGTCATTTCATCCCTTTTTGAAGAAAAATGTGAAATACTGAAAAATTATTGCCTCTAAGATGCGACCAGTCCCGGAAAAATGAACTTTTTCATACCAGAAATAATGTTTAAAGTTCAGACCAAAATCATCGATTACGACTCGCAGATGCAGCGAACTGAGTGCAGAAATACAGAAGCGCTGGCGAGGACGCGTCCCGTCCACAGCAGAGGAAACCTTTAGCGGTTTTTCACGCTGTCAGTGAGACGACGGGTTAATACTCCTGTGGGATTACATGCGGCGACCACTCAGACACTGACTTCCTCATCAGCGGCTTCCAGGCTTCTGTGGGCGGTTTGAAATTAAGGCACGTGGTGTTTCTGAAAAATGCTTTTTAAAGTTACTCGTGCCTTAACTGTCTACAGCTGCCGCGGTCACATCTGCCTGCTGTAAGCTCAGATACTTCCTGTAAATCAGAGTGCAGCACACCTGCAGGAGCTCCAGCACCGAGCGCACAGAGCCGAGCTTCCACCAATCAAATCTGCATCAGGACAGGTTGTTATTTTCTTTGAGCCACTGAAACTCTGATTTTGGTTTTTAAAAGCAGCGAGCAAACAAACCGATGAAGGCGGAGCAGATGAGCGCGTTTCCGGTCACACACACGGTTAGTCGCGTCGTTTCCATCGCGCTACGTTCAGTCTCGCTGGGCTTTTCACACAAACTTATGACATCTGAAGACGACCGCTTGCTACAGGAAGCTGCGACGGTCATATAAGAACTATTGCTGAGGTCATTCGTACATTCATGGGTTAAAAAAGAAAAAAGCAGCTGTGCAGAGTTTTCTTGGTCATTTCAAACCTCCTCAGTCATCGTTTCTCTTTTTCCTCTTTGGACCAGGGCTTCCCTTTAGATCCAGAAAGTCTCTCAGTCTCTTCCTGAAGTCCTCGAGTTTGGATTCGGGTATTAACCCTTCTTCTTTTTCCAACTTTAATTTCTCGTCTTCTCGGCCGTGCTGCGATCTGCTTGCGTGTCCAGCTGCAGTTTGCGGGTTTGAGTTCGGTGCGGTGAGGAGTGAAGGATGGAGCTCCGAACTCAGAGTTTCCACCAACTTCATCCGGAAACTTTCCCGCAGTTTCTGCAACTCGTCGTCCTGAAAACAGCAGAGAGAAGGCAGAGTGACGGCTCGTCCTGCTGCTCGGTTATCTCAGCGAGTCTGCGCTGAAGCCGAGCGTCGGCTGCACAGCAAACATGGCTGCAGGCAGTGAAATCAGCCCTGAATTCTGATTATTTATTTTCAAACTACACGTCCAACATCTTCAGACGTGAAACACCTGTGAGGACGAGAAAGGAAGCCGGAGCC